GCCCCTGCCATGCCATCTTTACACTTACGGTAAAATGTCAATTAGATGGAAAGAGGGAATTAGAAAAAGCATAATTCGGCAAACACCTCGGTGATAATTACTGCAGACAAGATCCGTTGGTGGATGCGAAAGTCAGTGGGCAAACGTTTGAGGAGAAATAGGATTTGCATAGTCTCAAGGAATCTACTCTCCGGGTATTATTAACTCCAAAGGAAAGAACAGTAACTTTGCAGGGGAGAAACCCAGCGGCCACCACCTTCACTCAGTAATCAAGGCCAACGTCACCGTAACGCCAGTAAACCACATCGACATCACGAACCCCCTGACGTGATGCGCTGAGGAGCCCACACCGTCATATATTGTCCTACCAAAACTATATAATGTCTTTTAACCATGGGAACACATCAGACAAACCCAAAATGAGAGCCGTTCTATAAAATAACTGATCAGTACCCTGAAACAATGTCACCATCATGAAAGACAAGGCAAAAACAGATTGGAGGAAACTATAGAGATATAGAGGCTCAAGTCCACCCAGAGGTGCCTCGGAAGAAAGGCTTGGCAATCGACTCCTGAAAAACTCGCCATTGAAAACTCTGTGGAGCACAGTTCTGCTCTGACACACATGGGTTTGCCATGAGTGGGACTCAACTCAGTGGCAACCGGTGGAAGGGGACATAACAGCTACATTCAATGGGGGATCCTGGATTGGATCCTGGAAGAAATAAAGGACGCTAGTGGGAAAAACGGTGAAATTCCAGTGAGGTCTGTAGTTTGGTTAAATGGTAATGTACCAATGTTAATTTCCTGGTTTTAATCATTGCACCACGGTTACATAAGACATTTACATTAGGGGAAACTGAGTGAGGGGGCATAAAACCAAACCAAACCCGTTGCCGTCAAGTCAATCCGATTCATAGCGACCCCACAGCACAGAGTAGAACTGCCCCACAGGGTTTCCAAGGAGTGGCTGGTGGATTCGCACCGCCAACCTTTTGGTTAGCAGCCGTAGCTCTTAACCACTGCACCACCAGGCCTCCAAAATCTATAATTAGTACAAAATAAGTATTTTAAAAACAAAGATACGTGGGGCTTTTGAAGCAGCCTGCCTAGGTTCCAATTCCAGGCTGGGTGACCTGGGGTAATTATCATCACTTCTATGAACCTCAATTTTCCTCTTTTGTAAAATGGGAGTAACAATTGTACCTACAACTTAAAGTTGAACAAAGTTAAATAAATTATCCATGACAGCACTTCGTAAGAGTACATTTTAAGGAGCCCTGGTGGTGCAGTGGTTAAAGTGCTCAGCCGCTAACTGGAAGGTCGGCAGTTCCAACCTACCAGCCGCTCTGCGGGAGAAAGATGTGACAGTTTCCTTTCATAAAGATTTACAGCCTTGGAAAAGAATGAAGAAAACCAACGATACAAGAGAAACATTAGCCCAAAGGACTAACGGACCACAAGTACCATGACCTCCACCAGACTGAGTCCAGCACAACTAGATGGTACCTGGCTACCACCACCGACTGCTCTGACCGGGATCACAATAGAGGGTCCTGGACAGAGCTGGAGAAAAACGTAGAACAAAATTCTAACTCACAAAATAAAAAAGACCAGACTTACTGGCCTGACAGAGACTGGAGAAACCCCGAGAGTATGGCCCCCGGACACCCCTTTAGCTCAGTACTGAAGTCACCCCTGAGGTTCGCCCTTCAGCCAAAGACTAGACAGGTCCATAAAACAAAACGAGACTAAGTGGGCACACCAGCCCAGGGGGCAGGGACTAGAAGGCAGGAAGGGACAGGAAAGCTGGTAATGGGGAACCCAAGGTCGAGAAGGGACAGTGTTGACATGTTGTGGGGTTGTTAACCCATATCATAAAACAACAGTCACAATATGTGTACTAACTGTTTAATGAGAAACTATCTCTTCTGTAAACCTTCATCTAAAGTGCAATTAAAAAAAAGAAAAAAACAATAAATGTCT